CCCCCCCAAAATTCCCCATAGGCCTCCCCCAGCCCTACAGGGAGCCCCAACCCCCACAGATCCCCCCACCGGCATCCAATGCCCCCCCATAGAGCCTCCACCAGCCCCACATGGACCCCCAGCCCCACACCGGGACCCCCAGCCCCCACCCGATGCCTTCCAGACCCCCCCGCAGGTCCCCCCCCAGCCCCACACGGACCCCCAACCCCCCCCACAGAGACCCCCCGCTCCCCACTCACACACGGGCCCGATGGAGCGGCTCTCCGCGTCCTCCTCCTCCTCCCCTCGGGGGGGTCCCGGGGGGGCCGCTGGGGGCGAATCCGGGGGCGGCGGCTGCGACATCGGCGGAGCCTGGGGAAGGGGGGTGGAAATGGGGGAGGGGGCTGCGGAGAACCGGGGGGGAGTCACGAAGATCCCACGTGACCCGGCCGTAACCACCCCCCCCCCGTCCCCGGCCCGGTTCCGGCCCCGCCCCCTCCACACTCCGTACCGCCGCCGCCGCTGCCGCCGCCCTCAATCGCTTTTCTCCGCGCCGCTCCGGATAACGACTTCCGGCTTCCGGCCGGAGGACACAAGGCGTCACTTCCGCTTCCGCCCTCCTGAGCCACCCCGCGCGGCGCCCGATGGCGGACGTACGGCGCACGCGCGGCTCTCGCGCCGATGACGCCACTCGCAGCACTCAGCCAATAGGAACGCCCGGCGTGAGGCACGTGGCCAAATCCCCCCTCATCCGTCCCGCCCTCCAAGTTCAGCCAATGGGTGAGCGCGACGACCGCCACGTGACCGCCCTCCCCAGCCGTCACGTGACGCGGAAGAGCCCACTACGAATCCGCGGGGGTTTTTATTGAGTATCAAAGGCGGTTAAAAGGCGGCGTTATTTACACGGGGGGGGCCCGGGGGCGGCCCCGCCCCCTCATATATTATTCATTATTTCGGCTCTCCCCTGCAGCCCCCAGCGAAGGGGGAGGGGCGAGCGGGAGGGGCGTGGCCTAACGAAGCCCCGCCCCTCCCTCATGGCTTTGAGCCCCCAATGGAGAGGGGCGGGGGAGGGGCGGAGCGAAGGGGGCGTGGCCCGAGCCCCAAACCATCGCCCCGCCCCTTTTCCCTTTGCCCCACCCCCCTGCAGCCCCTCCCCCCCTCCCCGTGCCCCCATGCTTGCCCCACACCCCCCCTTCCACCCCCCAATTGCCCCACATTGCCCCCTCCCCTCCCCCCCTAGATGAAGAACTCCTCCTTGCGTTTGTGCCCATCGCCGCCATTCAGGAACGCCTCCCGGGCCTCGCCGTGCTCGTCCAATCCGCTCGCTTCGTGCGTCAGGTACGAGCCTGGGGGCGGGGCTACGTCAGGCCCCCCCCAACCCCAGAGCAGTTCCCTGTCCCATGGCCCCGCCCCGCCCCATGGCCCCGCCCCCTTACTCTGACCACACCCCCTGACCCCCCAACCCCACTCTTTATATTAGAATGTGGTCCCCCTTAGCCCCGCCTCCTTAATCAAGACCCCGCCCCTAGCCTACATGCAGAAGAGCCCCAATTGGCCCCGACCATCTCATGGCCCCGCCTTCTCTTAGCCCCGCCCCTTTCTACACGACCTGAGCCTCATTGGCCCTTCCCCCGGAGGCCCCGCCCTCTCCCTTAGCTCCGCCCCCAGCCCACTCTCAGTACGGATCCCCATTGGCCCTGCCCCCCGGTAGCCCCGCCCCATTTCGCGGCCCCACCCACCTTTCTGCCGAATGGAGCACCAGACCATGGTGACGAGGACGCAGATGAGGAGGAAGACGAGCAGGGCCAGAATTCCCCCCACGATGGCGTACGGCACCGAGCGCTGAGCGGCCACCACCGCATCGGGGTCTGGGGGGGGGGACACCAAAATGGGGGGCTCTGGGGGGGGCACCATGTGGACAGAGTGGCACATACCATAGAGAATGAGGAGGAATTGCCTGGCCAGAGTGCCACCTACCACCGACAGGGAGGTACTGCATGACCAGAGTGGCACGTACCATAGAGACTTGGAGGTATTGCATGGTGGAGTGCCACATACCATAGACGAGGAAGTACTGTGTGGCCAGAGCGGCACATACCATAGAGAATAAGGAAGTATTGCATGGCTTAGTGCTGCATACCATAGACACGAGGAGGTATTGTGTGGCCAGAGCAGCACATACCATAGAGAATGAGCTACTGCATTGCCAGAGCGCCACAAGCCACAGACACATGGAGGTACTGCATGGTCAGAGTGCCACCTACCCCAGACAGGGAGGTACTGCACGGGCAGAACGGCACACACCATAGAGAACGGGGAGGTGCTGCGTGGCAGAGCGCCACCTACCATAGAGAACGCGGAGGTGCTGCGCGGCAGAGCGCCACCTACCATAGACGACGAGCAGGTACTGCGCGGCGGCGCGGCCGTGGCGGTTGCTGGCGCTGCAGCTGTACGTCCCGTTGTCGTGGGGGCTCAGCGCCGCCATGGTCAGCACGGCGCCTTCCGGCCGGGCGTGGGGGGG